GCGGCCGAATCGGAGGGTCCTTGCAGCGCAGCCTCTCCTGAGCCCAGGGGCGAAGCGGCTCCGGACACTCGTCTCCCTGCCCCCTGGCGCTCCCCGGAGCCCACCCACAACTGCTCTCTGCACCCCGCAGCTGCTGCGGGAGCCCACTGCACCGCGGCCTGCAGCGCCGGAACAGCTGCTAACACAGACGCCGGAGCCCCAGGGACTGCCAGTGGAGCCACACACAGGAGCATGGAGGAGGCAAAGGAGCCAGTGACCCCTGGCTCAGACCCTCTCCCCGAAAGGCCCCTGAACGTGAGGACTAGTGGCGTGGATGTGGCCTGCACTGGGTCAGCCTCGTCGGGCCTGTGGCCACCTGCTAAGGCTCTGCACCCGGGGGAACCTGGCCCAGCCGGCAAGCCCAGCAGGGACATGCGGCCGCAGGTGCACTCGGCCATGCCAGAGGGAGCAGGGCACACTGGCAGCATGGGGCCTCCCTGGGACAGAGGCCAGCAGTCCTGGGCATGCTCCACGGGCCGTGGCCAGCTGACACTAGTGGCTTCTGGGCCACGGGAGCTGACTCTGCCAGGAGGATGCGTGGAGGCCTGTGCCTGCGTGCGGAACGGGCGGGCGAGGCCAAGCCAGGCCCAGGCTCCCCCCCCGCTCCTGCCTGGCGACAGCAGCAGGTAAGTGGTGATGAACGACAGGGTCTAGAGCAGATGCCCGTGCCAGGGGCCATGCTAGGTGCCCCAGCGAGCAGTTCCCCGGGCCCACGTGGGGACGAGTCACCCGAGGCGACCAAGCCCAGTTCGGTGTCTGAGCCAGGGCCCCACGTGCCGGGGGGTGAAGAAGGCGGGAAGTCCCTGCAGGAGCAGCCCTGCTGTCGGACCAGACGGGGGCTCGTCTGGGGGGCAGGGAAGGGGGACCAGCCTCTTCCTTCTTGTGTAACTGGCTCCTCTCTTCCGAGCAGGCCCCTGGGGCAGCAGCCAGGCAGTGCCCGGGGCAGAGCGCTCCGCGGGGCTGTGCTGAGCGTGCGCCGGGCAGAGCTCCGCTCTCGCTACAGCAGCGCCCAGGACATGATCCACACGCTCTTCGTCTGCATCTCTGGTAGGTGCTGTGCCCCGCGGGCCGGGCGAGAACTCCGGCCTCCCGCGCTGCCGCGGGGGAGCCATGGGACCAAGGCCTGGGGCTGTCCTGGGGGCGCTGCGGGCAGTGTAGTGCCATGTGAGGGGAGCGTGTGCCAGGCGCACAGAAAGCTGCTGCTAGAGTCAGCTCCTGCCACGTGGCAGCGATGGCTCTTGCCGGCAGGTGTGCCTGGAGGAGGTGCGTCCGCCAGGTGCTGCCCCACAGCGGGCAGCTGGGAGCGGCTCATCAGCGGGCACTGTCTGCCCCCACCTGCTGGGCCCCGCGAGGGGACGGAGGGAGCAGCAGCGGCGCTGGGCCCACAGGAACTGGAACGGTTCCGGACCAGGGCAGGGGAGGCCGCGGCTTGCACCCATGCCCCCACCCGCTGGGCCCCGCGAGGGGACACTGCAGGCCGAGTGCCAGCGCTGGCGTGGTGTCTGTGCCCAGGCTGCGGCGTGCCCAGGACAGAGCCAGAGGGTCACGCGGCCCAAAACAGCCGCTCCGCCTACGTGCACAAGAGTGCAGTGGAGACTGCATGTCCCATCATGCACTGCTCCCAACGCTTGGATTAAGCCTGAGCGTTGCTGCTGGATCTGCGGTGTCTGCAGGCTGAATCCTCGGCCACCGGGCCAGCTCCAGTGTTTGTGCCGCCCCAAGTGGCGAAGCCAAC